CTTATCATTAAGAAACAGTGGCATGCGCTGTATATAACATATATGGTACTTGCCATATTTAATACACTGTATGAAGGCATGCTGCTAAAGCTGGAAGAGGGAAAAAGATTCCATCTTTGGAATAATTTTTACAGAACATATTTCTGGTTTTAATCAAAATTTCATCTCAAACACCATCTTCCAAGCACATTTCTTCAAATAGCACACACACATCTGAATACTCATGCTCACCCTAAGATGTTTACTTGTGTCTCAAAAAAGCAATATATACATGTTCTGAGTTTTATGCTCTTTTTGTTTTAACAATACCTTCAGTTTGGCATACTTAGTAGACTGGTGTGTTGGGGGATAATTTCAGATATTTAGTAGATGTTAAATGGATCTTGCTTCAAATCTGATAGCAATTTTATTGGTTTTACTCATATCAAGCAGTTGTGATAAAAAGTGTAGTATATGTATTACTATCCCACACTTTAAAATACTAATGACATTGTACTAAAGCTTAGAACCTACAGAATGCAGTAAGATTAAATTCAGTTTCAAAAAAGGATGAATTCCTAGCGTACCTGAATGAAACTGGAGAAAGCCTGAAATTTATCCCTAACAACATGCTGTTGCTATTTACACCACCAAAAATATATTAAGCTTATTGTTTGCACATCATTACAGTAAGGCTAATTAAGTACCTCATTGCAGCTGTATTTGAAAAGTACAAAAATGCTTACTATAAAGGAACACTGAGTAGAAAACGAGCTCACAGGTACAGCCAAAGAGAGCAAAAGGTCAGCATTTGCCAATTGCTACTGTGGAGTTTCCACAGCTACTGGGAACTCTCTCTTTTCCTAATCCAGAGGAAGTCTGAGGGAACCTCAGATGCTATTGTGTGGTAACTGCTGGCAAACATTACAGATTTTATCTCAACCACTGGCGTACTAACTGCCTGCATTTCAACATCAATTTTTCATTCAACTTTTTCTTCAACTTATTCCAATGAAGTACAAATTAAGGCATAGATTAATAAATAAATACACCACATTTGAACATGCCATACCTGCTTTATATAAAGCAGTTTAGGAATAGACACTAAATATGTATTACCATGTCATGAATAATTTTGTTTAGTCTTTAAACCAGGGCACTGGGGAAAAAAAAAATCATTCCAGGTGCAGTAAGTTGGAATAGAACCTGAAATATGTTTTAATGAACAGTAACGGTGCCTAATACATTTTAACAGCTACTTACTGAACTCCTATTCCAGACAAGTGAACTTCAAGTGAGGCCTCTTCCATGCAGGTACACTTCAACTTCACACACTTCCATGTAATAAAGCAAGGCCAAGCACAGTCACCTACTTTGGCTTTCCCATATAAAATAAAATGCGGTACTTCATGAAATCCATGCTTTTTAAAATTATATTGCATCTTTTTCAGAACCAACCTTTTAAAAAGAGGCGGGAATGAAAAAAACACCATGATTTTTTAGTAGACAGAATAAGTATATTGGATCAAATTTCCAAGACCTAATCTGATCATGCAGCTTTGGCAGCAGTATCAGTTAAAGACGGAAAAAAGATCTTGATTGACAGAAAACCAGTATGCAATTATTTTCTTTGTACTGAGACACAAGTATGTTCTGAGTTTCTAACCTTAAGAATGCTTGAATTTAAGTTTGGATCTGATTACGCTGATAGCCACATGTTTTTATGTGCTGCTGTCTGATTAATACTCACACTACAACACTTCTGTCTTCCAGAATCGAAGGACACTGCTCATTCAGAACAAGAAGGAACTAATGGCTAGAGTAACGCTTGTAGCTATAGTTTTGTCACTTTGCATTTTTGTTACATGGTTAAATAGAAACTAGTTCAGAGGTGGGAAAACAAATGCTGTGGTCAAAGGAATATTCTACTTGTCTCTGATTTTAACTATAAGCACATGAAGTATTGTAGTCCTAGCTGTACTTTAAGTCTCTTCTCAAATATATGATTTTATCATCACAGAGTGATAACAGAGAACACCAAAATGATTTTATGAAGTTCAGCTCATAATTAGTTGTGCATTCCGCATTATCTCCATTAGTGTTAGGACAATACAACTTAGAAGTAAACCTGACCCTGTATTACTAAAACCTTTTAAAGCCTGCTGAAATATCACAGAAATCCTTTGGGATATACAACACAGTACATACACTTTTATAACTCGGCTGTACAGAAAGAAGTACTGCATGATAAATATACTGACTAGAACCCATTGCAATCTATGCCTAATGAGAAGATAGTCTTTTGCCAAATGTTGGGAACCATCAACACATACAGTGCTCATATAATGACCAGTGCATCATTTCACTAAGGTGACTAGTGCAACTGGCTGCCTTTGATAATACTTGATAAGTTACATTAAGGTAGTTACTCCAAAACACCTATTACTCTTGCTTTGTTCTCTGTAGTCTATCTGGTTGGTTGACATAATAGATGTGTGTTTGCCATTTTTCCTTCCCTGCTTGGTCTACCAGACTGCCTCTTACTAGTCTGCAAATTGCAGTAGATGTAGACTGTTACTTTATAATAGAGGCATCCTACACGCAGAACCAGGAAATAAATTATAGAAAGACCTTAGGCGGACAAATAAAGACTATGAATGGATTGTTTCGGTTTATAACTTGAATGCATAACTTCATACAGGTTTGGTGGAAAGTTTCAGACTTCTTTTGCATCATTTTTTGTTAATTTCAGAAACATACCTCATGATCATCTTGCCCAAAGTGTTCTCACTAATACCTCACTTAAAATCTCAGTTAAAAAACATTCAGTTGTCTTGGTATGATTGTAAGCCCACTGCCTGGTGAAAAAGACATGAAGTCTGGCTCAAGTACAGTTCCTAAATATATTAAGAGACTTTCAGAACATGGCCCCTTGGCACTAGAAACCCAAATACCTTTTTCCATTTTCCAAACACATGAAATGGTAAAGGAAGAAAGCAGCAAGCTGTTTCACTCAAACCATGCTAAAGAACTCCATTCTGTGTGCCTGTCCCAAGAAAGAGGACCTGTGTTCCAGATGTATACCCACATTATGAGGGTTACCATGCCAACCCTGAATATTTCTACAGCCCATAATACTTCTAAACATGAAAGCAAGACAAGCATGTGGCTGCTGCTTCTGATATGCAAACCTCTTGGTACTATCCAGCAATATTTGCTGTATTTCCATAAAATCAATGACAGTTTTTAATATTTATGAAAGCAATCAGTCTTGGAGAAGCACCTCATTTTTTGTGGCACAGCATGACTTGGCACACACTTACATTTAGGTTTAGTAATCTCAAAACCATTATCATATGAAAAACCTTATCCACCTAAACACTAACATATTTATTATCAGTGAATGATGATTCCTTCAAAGCTAAGGGCGCCTCAAGGAGGCATCATCCTTTCTGAACAGGGACGGTAGGGATTACTGACTGCTACTAACACAATGTTTTCCCCAGTCTTACTGGATCCCTCCTCATAATTCTCCTACTACAAAGACCCTGGGTACTTGTATTACTCTTTCTCATTGCTCATGCACCATTCCTCCCCTCTTTCTTCATACTGTTGCCCATCCACACCCATCTGCTGATGTGTGTCACCCCCTTTTTTCCCATGTGCTAATCCCTTAAAAAATCACTTCTGTGACTCCCAGTATTATTTTTTTCTCCTGTCTCCACAGAGGTGACGAGAAATCCCTGAGGAGGGATTTTCCCGGAGGAAATTAAAACTCTGATCCAGTATGTCTGGAGAGTGGAAAGAAGAGTATTATGGAATTAAAAAAAAAAATGCAGATAGCAGAGAGCCTGAGTTCAGGCTCTAGTGTGACAAAAAGGAAGGATGAAGTGTCGTGTCACAATCTCTACTGGGTCCTGTATATTTAAGAGAGAAATGTGGGAAGCTATGCACCCTCCCTGAAGGAGACTGGCCCTTTGAAGTAAGAAAAGTGAAACAAAAGTATTTCCTCTACCGTACAAGCTAACATCTACATCATTGTAATAAAACTATTCAACTAGGCACACAGTGAAATGGACTCCTAGCACCATTTTCTATTTCACAACATATAAACAAATAAGGTTTTTTTTTCAAGTGAATAATAATCAGCAGTTATTCTTAGAAATTATATATTCATTGTTTGTTAGGTTATGGTGAAGACTGGAAAAAACACCAGTGAGGCTGCTTTCTGCTGACACAAAAGAAGGACTCAGTAAGGGTAAGCTAATCATCCAAAATACTGACTATATGTAAGGCCAATCAAGAATCTGAATTACAGACATTATAGATGGTTCACTGGCATCTAACCAAACTGATTCTAGGGCTTACTGGCTAGATTGCTACCCCATGTGATTACATATGTGTGAGACTAACTTGCAGTGACCCTAAGAAAAACAGCAAGAAAAACATGACTCTGAGGTTTGAATGGTCACTGCTAGAACCTGTGAACAGAAAAATTGTTATGTGCTTTATTCCTACTGTATTCATGGAAAAAAGGCTGTAGGTCTGGTTTTTGTTAGAAATGAAACAAACAACAGCCTTAAAAAACATCCAATTAATCTCAGTTTCTCATGGTAACATTATTCAAGATCCTCAGACACAATGCAAGAATATTGCAGGATAATTTGTGCCATTTATTCTGTAGCACTTCTCCCACATGTATCCTTCATTCAGGTACTCAAGTACTGATGGTACGTAAGTTTTACTTTATGAAGGTCTATCACGTTGCCTTCTCAGTCTATAGTGAAAGTTTATAAACCCAGAAAATAAAATTTTGACTAATCCTATCTGTCAGGACGTGTTAAGTTAAAGAATACCTTTCCTTTATATCTAGGTGGAAAGATGGAGCAAGTCATTCGTTCACATAGACTAGTTAGAAAAGCACACCATTAACCTGGAAAAACAAAGGCCCAATTACAACTGCCCCGTATTTTCATAAGTAATAGCCTTTTGTTGTTAAGAGAGACAGAATTCAGACTTACTATGCATTTGTTCGGCTTCTCTCCTGAGTGGACTCTCATGTGAATGAGCAGTTTGTAGCGGGCATTAAATGGCTTGTACCTCCGTGGGCACCCTGCCCAGAAGCAAGTGAAGTCCTCTCCCTTCCTCTGGTCTATATGGATCTTCTCTATGTGCTGCACAAGTTCCTCTTGCTGGTCATAAAGCGCACTGCAGTCAACCCATCGACAGCCATGCTTGCTACTGAAGTCGTCTAGCTCACCATCTTCATCGAGCAAAGAGCCTGGGGCAGAAGGAGGCAGAGGCAGTGGGTGAATGCAGCTGGGGAGGCTGTGTGGATGCCGGTGCTGGTGAGCATGGTATGGTGGGGGTGGCCCTTGAGGGGGTGGTGGCGGCAGCAGCAAGGGTGGAGGAAGCATGTCAGCCATTTGGCCAGAGAAGTCATCCAGCTGTTCGTTCTTCAGGATGCCCACTGCCTGGCTGTCCGCGGGTGGCACGGCCTGCTGGGTCACCATGTTGCTTGTGGCAGCCATCTCCACGCTGGCTTGCTCCAGCTGCTGCATCTGCTGGTACTCACCAGCCTCATCCTCAAAATACCCTGGGAAGGTGGCGTTGCCATTAGCCATGAGAAGGCCTTTCTGGGCGGTTGGAATAGAGCAACTTTGAGGTATACAGCCTCCTCTCACTCCCAAAAAATGTCCATAGACCTCAGGCTGTGAGGAGACATCTGCTGGTGATGTCCTGGAGCTGCTGATGTAGGCCACCCGAGAAGTTGGGGATGTATGGACGACTGTATTGATGTCAATCCCCATACCATCAGACAGAGGAGACAGAGACAGTGCTCTCTTTTTGGAGAAGGCTGATTGTGACCGGACTGAGGAATGGCGAGGACTAGAGTAAGGGGAATGCTTATTGGCCATGCCATATAAGTAGGACGGTAACAAGTTAGAGATGGAGGTACTGGACAAAGATGTTCCAGGTGAAAAATTTAGTGAGTCCCCCAGCTCACTGCCATTTTGTAAACCTTGGTCAGGAGGAGCAAAAGGAAGTGTCCTGTACCCATGTGACCACTCTTGCTTGGCGCTCAGAGTGGGCTGACTTTCTGACAAGCTTAACGTCGTAGAGGCCAGAGACTCACGTGATACGAGCAACCTGGAATAAAGGCACAATAAAGTATGTAAGCAGTTAGACAAATTAGCAGTGGGTCTCCTATCTTCACAAATACATAAAATTAAAGAAAGGCTACGTATGAGAAAAGTTCTCCCTAATTTTTGGGATTCAACTTCAGCATTTTCAGCTAAAGTACAGCAGACATACACAGGCAATACCTACAAGGTCACTTAGGAAACCATCTTTAAAAATTCAAGATTTTGAAGAAAATTTGTTGTAAAGGTTCTTGATACACTGCAGAATTCAATGCAAATTTTTTCATCAACTGTGGTGTAAATTGGTTTGGGCTTCTGAAGCCAAAGCATCATGCTCCTGCTTTGTATGAAACTCGTATTGATTTGACTATTGTTTCTGCTGGCAAAGAATAGAAAGAAAACTGATTAATAAAGAATACATATTTAACTTTAATTACTTCTGCAATTGTAATGCATACAAACAGTATTCCCTACAGAAATAGCTCAAGTTTATAAATAAAAATAATATCTAACTTTACAAAACAAATAAATGAATAATGTAGAAAAACTGGTTGAAGGGCTTTATTTAGTTTTGATTTGATGATGTATCTGCCTCCAAGTTAGCAATCAAAATTTTTCACAAAACTGTAATCTTGGTGTTATCATTAGTGTTTCACAGAAATACTATGAAACTTGTTTATGCTGGAAATGTCCTACGGGTAGCTTAAAAAAAACCCAAACAACAAACCTATAAGCTCGTAACAATATTGTTTTCTACAGAAAGGTATAAAATAGAAATACAAGGACATCAGGGTCCCTGATTCATGGCTGAAAATGCTCAGGAGAAGCCAAGCGGATTTGTGTCTTTCAGGTTTTCAGTTCCCATCTTGGCAGACCTGGCTTCCCTACTGGCCAGTGGTGCTATCAGTATATTAATTTCTATTTTTGAGGGGCTCTAACAGTAGGAAGAACCAGCTATGTATCTAGATAAACTTGGAGATCTCACAGACAGAGAAGTCTCTGCATTTTATGTTTTTGACATTAATTCCTGGGTTTATTATTTTCACAATATACTTTTGAAGAAGCACAGAATTTTAATAGGGGATCAAATATATAGGAAATCTGGGTTCTCTTCTAAATCTAAAACTAATTTTTAAAGATGGACAAGTCAATCACTGCTTCTCAACCTCTCACATAGAAAACCAAGATACACAATAGTTCCTCTTATCATACAAAGACTTCAAGATGTCAAATCAACTTTAAAAAAGGCAGCTAATAAGTGCTAATAGGTACCTTAAATACCAGGTGCTGAAAAACATTTCTTAAGGGTCTAAGTAAACAGCGTATGAAATATTTACATGCAATAATCCAAAGGAACAGTCACGTAGGCAAGAAATAATATGGTCTTATTTACAAAAGTAAGTTCCTATAGTCAGTTATTTATAATTATTTTACTACAAGGTTTTATATTGCTACAAACTTCAAATTTCTAGAAGAGGAAGTATGTACCATGAAGAAAATTAGCAGAAACAAATCCCATCTCTTTCTTGACACAGACATTGTGACAGCAAGCACCTTTGAGGAGGTACTTACACCTATTTTACTTGCTTCTTTGTTTTTTTAATAGGGAAGCAAGTTTTTATGACTATTCAGGGTAAGCAATATTGCAGTTACTTCTGTGTTCTGCAAGATTTTCTTATAAAACAGGAAACAAGGATCTATGGCACAGAGCAGTTAAGGCTCATAGTTTCATCACATGTCTGCATAACAGTCCTACTGCAGCTACTGAGGCTTTGGTGGAGACACATGAAACTACTTAATTTAAGAACTGGTGGTAGGCTAAAACTGGAGATCTGAATCCCATTTAAAACAACATCAGTCAACCCAGAAGAGCAAGAACAGAACCTAAACAATGGCTCTGGAGATATTCCCAGTGAATATGGCGATATTTATGGATCGTGCTGCAACAACACAGTCCAGTCACTGCCAAAGAGTTGAAGAAGGGGAATCGTGCTCAGGGCACCGTGGCTGCCCTCTCATCCCCTTTCTGTCTAGACAGAAAGCTTGGCACAGGCTAAGGGAGATTGGAAGCAGTTTGCAGGTGCTACGTCTGTGAACTGAGATAGCTCATGAACACTGAAAATGCAGTTCTAAAGGTCAACCAACCTTGCTGTGATGAGCTATGGGATAGATGGGTAAATGCTCCTCTGCCCAAGATACTTGCTTTGTAACAGACGGTTGATTTGCTGTATCAGAATAAGAAACAGCCCGTTCAGACTGTGTCACTATAGTGTACTGTTTGGAGGGTATATTACTCCATTGGGGTTTAAATGCCACTTCCAAATCAGAGCACTGAAGAAAAGCACAATCAACAATGCTGACTACAGATTGTGTTGAGAGAAATGAGAAAAATTGAATTGCCATATCAGGTCTATCTTGTGTAAGATTTAGATCTAAAGGGATAATTATTTGTTAAAAAAAAAAAAATATTGATTCAGGCTGTTGGGTCTGTTATCAATGGGCTTTGTTAAAGCATAGCTCATTATAGGGCAGTTAAATCATGTTAGCTTGCTATGACCCCAAATACAGATGCACAGTCTTCAACAGAGCAAGAAAAGTAAGTTACGATTTTTCCATAGTAGACTATATATATTTAGAGCTAGAAAATACAAATGGGGTAGTGGGGGGTTTGGCAATGTGGTTATTTAATTTTTTACTTTCTCTTTTATAAGTAGGGGGAAAAATCATGCATCATTATAACAAGCCTATTTTTGTAATGTCAAGAATTTTAATCAGATGCGTAGTAGGACCAGTGTCATTCAAAAAGCTACTAATGCCTAACACAAAAGGACATACCCATCAGCGAAGCCGAAGAAAAACTCCATTTTAGATGTCTCATAACAAAAAATAGAAAGTTGGCCCAGAATTTCAAGTATACAATAAGTAAGAGCCAGATAATCTGAACAAGTTTGGCTCTCAAGCCTCTAAATTCAAGAGTAACAATCATTCAAGCTCCCAAAACAAAGAAAATGTCTTTAAAACACAGTCCACACTGTGTCTTAAGTAGTTTTCTGGGAGAAAATAAATATACTTAAAATGAAAATGAAGGGCCAGCTATACCACACTGTGTCAGATTCTCAGATGGTATTAATTGGCACATCTTATTGAAAGCTAAACCAACCTGAGTTTGGACCAGAACTGTTATGAACATTTACAAGAGGTTCCTGCAATTAATTTTTATTCTCCCGCTGTGTACAGAGGCCACAGTGTCAACTATAACCCAGAATCTTACATATAAACATGTAAGAGTAAAAACTATGTTTTCATATCTTTTTCCATAGTCTTACTATCTTACTAGCCAGGAATCCTTTGCACTTTCCTAGGTACTCTTCTGACTTCCATCAAAGTAAATAGCAGTGTTACATCTGGTTTCAAGTAGCATAACTGGAGACATTGAAAAAGGTTTGGGAAACGCTCAAAAAAGATCAGGAAGGTTTTATCCCCTGTTGTCTACATACCAAAATCTTATTTTATCTGTGGCAAAACTCCAATTTTGCCAACTTTTTCTTTCTCCCATCAGCAAAAATCAAGACCTTTTGGTTTGGGTCAATTCGTCAAATAATCTGGTTTGGATTGAGCTGCCAGACCACAGTCCATGAGGCCTCAGAGATACAACCCAGAGAAGGTACTCAGTCCATGAACCATCATAGAATCAGCTTAGGCAACCAGTTTAGGCAAATGCATTTTATTGCGGAAGCAAATGAAAATAAACAAACAAATAAATAAATAAATAAATAACCTTTCAACAATCTGTGAATCAAAATCTGACTTTAAACTTGTTCTGACCTATAAAATAGTCAATTTGGGGGCAAAATTGCTGAAGTGGACATTCTTTATGTGACAAACTGATTTTATAACATCTTCACTGATAAATCATTAAAAGAGACTAGGGACACTAGAGCCTTGATTCTGGCAGAGTTTCAACTTCAGTTTGCCCTTAGTAAATGTTTCTTTAAAATAAAAACAAAAATGTAAAACTCAGTACTGACATTGTACACCCAACCACACATTCAGATAAAAATAAATGTTTGGAACCATACAGGCACACCTACAAGTTATTAAGTATTTAATAATTACCTAATGATATTTTTATATCATCAGTTTTGCTCTGTCTCAAAGGCACGCATGTCTCTGGATTTGGTTACCATCTTAACACGGGATGGATTTCTCTGACACATTTACATAGGAAGCATAATTAATTTTCTAAATTGTCCCAGAGGACTGCCTTCACCACTCAAGTGACAGAAATATCACGAACTATCTTACAGAAGCAAGATTTTCTTCCAGTTAAATAATATCAATTTTAATTTTTTCAAGAACATTTCTTGGCTTGCAGTAAAGTGATATAGTAAAATACAAACTTTTTTGAGAACACTCTTGTGGCCTTTTGTAAATAAGACCAGTTACGAAATGTTGCACGAGTCAGATCCACAAAAGTGGGACCGTAGCTTCTGAAGTAACGCATCAGGATGTGTTCTCACTCGGTGTTTAACTAATATCCAGGGATGTGCTTAATGTGTTTGTATTGAGAATGTCAAATAACTATTTTCCTTTCATTCATGGCAATAGTCATAGCCATAATCCTAAAAGACATTTAAGCATTTAAAAATGAAATAACATGTATGTATCTGTGGTTTAGTGATCTAAAAAGGCAACATTTTCAGGGAGAGGTCATATTTTTCACTGAACTGCCCACCAGAGCTAGGACAAGTTTTCAGGGAAACAAGTCTAACACACATAAGGTTAACTGCTGGCTCAGTGCAGACTGGGAAAAAGTGATCTGATTAACTTAATTACATAAACAATTTTATAATTTGAAATCAAAGGTATTTGATGAAGAGAGAGGAATGTTAGCAGGGCAGTTAAGTTTGTTTTGTCTCATGTTAGTGTTACTGGATAGGCACCAACATCACACTCTGCGCACCACGGTAAGCTTGAAACAGGTCACTGTTTGAAGATGTAACAGGTGGATTATTTCTGCTTTCATCCCCCATAACATTTCCTGTCCTTATTACAAAAATATAGTAAAGTGACTATAAAAATCTTTATCTAACAAGAAAGCCCTATCAAACATAGAATATGTGTGGCCAAACTTCATCCTTGATTTCAATGATCCAAACTGTGTGACTATAGCTGATGAGAATTAAATTGCGTTGAATTAAATTTCCCACACCATAACACAGAATCACTTATGCCATTTTAATCATCAGAAAGGTTGTATTTAAACTACAGGATAATCAAAATGCCCTCTTTTTAAAGTACTGAATATAAAAAAGTAACTCAGGACCTTATATCTGATGGAGAAGCACTCAGACTGGAAGCATCCATAGACTTCTGTAAGCTAGGGCTGCTCTGGCTGCATGTTGTTGAAACCTGAATAGCAGGAGGTGAAACAGGGCCCAGCTGTTGAACTGTCATCGGACTGCTGGTGACTATTACATTACTGCAGCTGCCTTTTCCAATGGACTTGCACTGGGGTCCATAACCAAGACCTCCTAAAAAATAAACAAGGCAGGTTAATATTCATCTCCCAGGAACCCATGACGAGGACAGTGAGCTCACGTCACTTTGCAACGTAGGAAGAGTGGCTGGAACTGAGTATCTTTAGATGAGGACGTAACAGGGGACCAATAAAAAGATTTTGCAAACTTCTCTGAGCAACAAATAAACAAAAAAGCAGTATTCTAAAAGGGAATAAATAAACTATGCACATTAAAAACCTGCTTAAGTACATAAACTAAAGATAAATCAGAAAAAATGCCACTGGAAGAGTCCAGGTACCAAAGCAGCCCTCAACAAAGGGACAGCCAAGCCATAAGTGGAGCTTTCTCTGAAGGAGGGAAGAAAGAACCCAAAAAGGCTGCGGGAATGCCACCATGCCTTGAATCCCAACAAACCCAACAGCTCCAAGCCATTGCAAGCCTTTCCATCATTCCTACACTAGCCACCCAAAAAGCAAGGGGGACTGCAGGCATGCATGCAAACCGCAACCCCTGCAATAGGTCTGGTGTAGTGAAGTGCACAGGCTGCAGTTCTCTGGTAGCTGGAACCAAGCAGTGCTCAGAGGTGTGGGGAGAGGAATTTGAGCTGGATCAAGCAGAGCAGAATTCTGGACTTTCTCTGTCAGGCCACAGGCTGCTCTTAATCACTGCTTCCATGACTCAAACTGATGGCTATTACACAGTTGCACAGGATGTTTACAGAGGTAGCTGGTAAGTGGGACAAATCTGCAAAATGCTCATTGTACTTCGTGTTCTGATTTAGGTCACAGATGGTGGTTTAAAAGATACCCTGCATTCAAACACATTAACATGAAAAAGTTAAAATATAGGTTGTAATATGGAAGTTGTTGGTTACCTAGCAAATTCTCACCACAGCTGGAAATTAATATGATGATTCACATTTCTAGCTGCTTCCCCAGGTTCAGACTACTCCCGACAGCAGGATAGCAACATCAAGACAAATAGTGAAAAGTAGTTAACTGAAACACTTTCCTAAATTAAATCTACTTTTGACTTTGTTTACAACACACATACTCGTTTTTCTCACAGATGTTCAAATGGGTTGTGAACTTCACAAAGAGGTGCATTAAGGCACTTACGGCTCTTACAGTCATAGGAAGAAAATCCAAATCCTTCCATCTCCTCCAGATCAAATAGAATGATCTTAAAAATTTGCAATTCACCGTAGAAATTTCAAATTATAGCTTTCTTTTTTTAAACATAACAAATAGATCTGTCTATTCCTATTTTAGAGGTCTGTGCCTTCTTTTCAAATATTCTCCTTTTCTTCAACTAATTAGTAGTATCTCACATATATGTGAGGAGTGCATACATGATTCTCAGCCCACTGGGATCCTACTGCTTTGTAAATTCACGTACAGATGTTACAAGCATGACCCACCACCAAAATGTACTCACTCCTTGGGATGAAATATGGCAGTCCTTTTAAGACAAACAACTTAACTCATTGTTGCTACTTCAAAACATACGAATACAGCATCTGGCTGAAAACTCAAGGGTAAGAAAGAAGAAAACATTTAATAACCCATCCTGAAATTTAGCTAGATAGACTGGAAATTTCTGAGGACCAACATGTAAGGAGAACTGCTTGTTCTGCACTTAACTTCACTGTGGGTACCAGAAAAAAGCTTTTAAGCTTTGCAGGATTACTGTCCGCTTTCGATAAGATGTGCAATCAAATCAAAACAGTAAAACAAGGCATTTAATTTTCTTTCCTTGAAGCAGTTTGTATTTTGAACTCAAAGCTGAATCAGTGTGCTACTCAGCAGTTGCTTCTATAATGTTACAGAGTGCTAAAATGGAATCAGCCAGCAAAAATTAGGCAATAAGCCTCAGTTGCCCCTGGCAATAGTATGAAAGCTACCCTCTTAGCAAATGGCTGGGTGGGGTGAAGTTAAAAATTTGTATGATGCATTCACATCATGTAAAATGCATAGTACTACATGCCTATATGTGTGCATATATTACACATGTTCAGTCAGGTTTGGGGTTTTTTTTTCAGAAAAGTGTCCTTAGTATGTAGAACCAAAGGCTTTCTGCACCAAAGCATATACAAGACATAGAAACATGCTATAACAATGTAAGAAATCCAACTGATTTTGACACTGAAACACAGTTGTAATGTTTATGGAGCCTATACAGATTGATTACTTGAGACGTATACCTATTATCTAGCACTGAGAAAAGCAGCTCTACCACAAAAATGTACCAAATACACACTGATTTTTCCCTGGACGACACCAGAATACCTTTTATTCAGAAGCCACTTTCAACAAATTTCAATGGTAACAATAACATCTACATTATCAAATCCACAAAATCAAGGCATGTGCACTGGTAAGATTTTCGTTCAGGGACAGGACATATGTCAGTTCAAATAACAATCTGCAATGATACAGTGAAATTCCTACCTATACATGACTAAACCTGAGCTGCTTGGAGCTTACAAGTCAGAAAAGAAAAATCCCAAAAGCAAAATCAGAAAAATAAGTAGTGTCAAATCAGTGCTGTTAGATAGAGAATCTCACACCATCAACACATCCTGGATTCCCTTCTAATGACAGGGTCTGTTCTTACCTGTGCCTAAACTGCACCTCAGTGATGCAGGGAACATCTAACAGAACTTGTTGTGTAAGGATAAGGATGAAGGCAAAGATGGTCTGCTCACTGGTCATGAAAGAAAAAAATGGGAAAAGGAGTACTTTGGAGAGACTGTATTACTGGGATGACAGACAAAAGTAATGCAAGACTCATGTTCTGATAAACATTGCCTGGGCATGTCTCTGATGCAGAAGTGGAAGGAAAAGGTTTTGTTCTTGTTATCATTGATAAACATTTGCTGTTATGAGGAAAAATTACAACTCTTTCACTTGAAAGGCCAGAGGTGGGGAGAGACAATATCAAGAAAGAATCTATCATCAGCTCCCACTGTTGAAAGTAAAAGACTACTGCTGGGAAAGGCAAAATCATAACATTTTACCCACTGTTTCATACAAGTGTAAATGTGCCAGAAGTCCCATCATTAACACCTGATCTGTGCCCTGCAGGTCACTGAGATATTAACTTGATCTGAATTAGGCGCGAGCATACAAGCACATGAGCTAAGAGCTAAGAGCTAAGTCTGAGCACTTAGGCTAAGTCTGAGCTGGTTTATGCTGACTTTGAGCCAGCTGCAGGAGTGGAGACCGTATCTGATCTAGCATAAAGTTAAATGGCTGCAACGTGGACATCTGACCTGGAATGAGCCTGCTGCCAGAAGGCAAGCTGTTAGAAAATGTGTTTGAAAGTGCTGAATAAATGTGAACTGACAGAATGACTATGTCCCACACCAGCATTAGACATCATATACCCACAGTGCAAGTGGACCCCTCGGTCCAGGTTTGCTCTATCATTGACCCAAAGCCTCAAAATTTCAGGACAGTGAAAGGACAACCAGGAATTCCTTAATGTCTTGAATCCACATCAGCTGAGATAAATGGGAATCTCTGAGGACATCAGTGGGTTATGAATGAAGCTGTATAGGTTCTAAGAAAAATATGTGGACTTAATATTTCAAATGAGCAAGAGAAGCAATTTCTTTTCTTATATTCTAAGATATAAATCATGAGATGAGGAGGTGGAATCAGTCCTGAGCTGGCTCACAGGAAGAGCTACAGGTAATTAGCATGTCATTTATTCCAAATAAACATACGACACATAAAACTTCTCCTTATCAATAACTAACAGTAATAGCTAACAGGTATAAACAGTAAATTATTTAATGGAAATATTTTAGTCCATTCACTTCCTCGTTTGTTAGCATGCCCAGTTTCCCTGTTTATTCTTTATAGTTGGTTAATAGCTAAGCTTCACTCATCCTTGACATACAAAAATTATTTCACTGCAATCTTCTTAAGAACAATCAAAGAATACAGAAAAATAAAACTCATCTAGGTACACTGAATTTCAGATTATATTCTCTTAATTTCTATCACTCTCATACATTTTGGAGGCAGAATCCAATATGAAATTATTTCCATTTAAACACATTTTCTTTTATGAGATATTGAGTGAAAACCAACAGATTTCTTCGTGCACTCCTCCAAGTGAAGAGTAGTAATTTGTTAATTCTGCGAAGTAACTCAGGTTATAAAATGAAACTGCTTTGCCAAACCTTTGAAATTGTAAACTATGCTTCCCATGTATAAATGAAAATACAATTAAAACCTGTAAGAGCAAAACCAGTTCTGCAACACACAACATACCAAATACACAACACTAGATCAAATTCAATCACCCCTTAGATCAATAAATTACTGCAGTAACTGAATTAATCACTATAAAAGAAAGCAATTTAAATTATCTGAAAATCTGTCCTGCTGTTACTATTAAAATAACAGCTAGAAATAAAAGAATTGCAAAAGAGGAACGAAAGGTGATTTCCCTAGGGCATTTTCTGTCTGTTGACATACAGTAATCAAGAGCTTTGGAAACAATTGGTCTTAAGGTTTCCCTTTCAATTGGCCTCCAGTCTTGTTTGTGTGCATTCTGTACTCATCCAAATGGGGAGAAAAGGGCACACCCAAAAAAAGTGTATTATAAGTGTGCAACAATGTGGATGAACCACCACAGTAAGACAAAAAGTATTGAAGAAGACAGAGACCAAAAGCATAAAACCGTGTCCATGTATTCTTCACAAAGATCAGACATAAGTCACCAAGACCTTTTCAAACCAAATTTGGTCTTTTTCCACAACATGATGAATCTTCTGGATGTTGCAGTCCCTAGCTACCCTGTAACATCTTTGCTGTGTGTCACTACGCCTGCAGTGTTGTTGGCATCCTAACCGGCGGGGCTTTGCAGTAGCTGCTGACTGAACAAACTCAAATGTTTCCTTGGAAGACTTGTTTACAGATAGGAAGTGACCCAATCCCTCTCGCCTTGGGCTGCCAGAGCTTTACAGAGCTAGCACTTGTCCCTTTG